GGGGCCCAAGGAATTTGTACATTTAAGGCCTCCTAGTCTCTGCCCATAGCACATAATGGTCTAAGCTCCGGTGGGCTGTAGCATTTTAGACTAATTTTGGTTGAGTTTCGTATGTGGGTCCCTGGGAAGCGTTGGTGGCCTGTGATATACAAGAGGTCAGACTGGAGGATCTGATGGTCCCTTCTGGTCTTAAACTTTGAGACCTCAAAAATCCAAAACACCCCTGCTCAATGCAATGAAGTCACAAGCTATTTTTGATTCCCCAAGGCTTGGCACATTAACCCATAGGGACAAATGCAACAAATGCACCCGAGGCTATCCTGGGTAATACTGACATCTACAAGGGAGGTACAGACAAATATTTGCTATTGTAGAGCAGGAAGAGGTCAATATTCTGCCACTAGCTCCCAGCACTCAGACAGAAACCCCTGTAACAAGGGAGAGATGGCACAGGTCAGTAAGTGCCACATGACCCCTGAGGTGGGACTCTCAATCTCATAAAACAACCCCTGCTGGATGATCCCCTGAGGGCTCTAGGCTGGGATCTTCAAAAGCACCTGAGCGAGTCAGGTGCCCATCTCCCATTGCATGACAACCGCAGCTGGGTGGCTCTCTTCCTTCAACTCCTTTGAAAAAAATCACAGGTGTAATTCTTGATACAGATTTATAGCACACCACTCACTTCTGTCCTTGAAGTTAAGCAGGCTTTCTAGTCTCATTTTGCCAGATGTCACCAGCAGTTTCACACCAGTCTAGAGTCTGTTAATTAGTCAAAAGAAGCAACTTGCCACTCACCCTTCATTACAGGAGAAGTTTGCTGTTGCACCAAACCGGAGATCCATGAAATGAACTCTGCCATTTTCTAGTTCTAGTTGTTTACATGGTCTTCCTAGAAGAGAAGAAGACTAATATTAGCGTTACCTCATATTACCTTAACGGGAGAAAGGGGATATGTTAACTTGCACCCCCTAACATAGCAAATACCATGGCAGATCAAAGCCAATGGTATTGGAGTCCACTATTTGTCCTGTACGACAGCGGTCAGCACCAAAGGCTACAGAGGAAATCTTACAACCCACATTATGGATAATTTTGTAACATGCCCAGGGGAAGTGAGGACAAGTGGAAGTGGGATGATGCTTCCTAATCCCACACAGAGAATGGTTGCCTTATATCCTGAATCAAGATAATTAAGTTCCCCTTGCAGATTTAGCATAAGTGCAAATATTCCTATTGTCGGAGAATAACAGAGGAGGGGGAATGTACAGCAAGTCAGATACTTTATTTTCTCTAACAATTGCTTAGAGAGAGAGAGAGAGAGAGCGAGCGCTAAACAGGTCTCTCTACAAGTAAACAATTAAAGCAAACCTTTATACCTTTCATTACAGACTATAATAAGCAACAGGTGCATTTTGTTTATACATAGGTCATCTTGATATCTTATTTTTCTCACTTGTTTTGACTCTAGTCTACATACAATATTTTCTACACAAGGTCGCAACAACATCTCACACAGTTCTTTCCCACTCACCTCACACAATCCTCGCTTCTACAAATCTCGCGTTATTAGGGTTACAGTTAGTTCGTTAGCAAGAGTCAGGCTGTCATGCATTGCATCCCCTTCCTGACAGTTCTTTCTCTGCTTCCACACTATTGTACCTCCTAAAGACCAGATCCTGAAAACTCATATGCATAACTATATTCATGTGGGTAGACCCATTGACCTCAACTGGCAGCAATTACAAATAAAAAGCAACATAATACATGGAAAAAAGGATAGATGGCATAAGTTACGAAATGTAAAAATTGATATGGGAAGCTAAAGACATCAGTGAAAGAGTCACAACTGGCATGGTTACAGACAATAAGGAGAAGGTTTTGCAGTTCCTTAGGAACAAAAAAAATCCTACTGTAAGAGAATGTACACATGTCCACACCCTAGAGACTGCTGTAATAACCTTTGTACAAAGTATGCCTTGTGAGGTATCTGAAAATGTAGAGTTTACTGGTCAATAGTGTCCTGATAAAATGCATGGCAACACTGTATGTGAAGTTAAAAGATTTCCCTGTATAATGTTTACTTATGTTGCAAACCACAGCACAAGTTGGCAAACAGGTCTGTCTCAAAGGAATGTGTGCTCTGCTTAATTTGCATTTAAGCAGTCATCAAGCAAGGAAAAGCAGCAGGGAAGATCTTCCTCTATAGACTAGGGTGACCAGATATCCCCATTTTATAGGGACAGTCCCGATTTTGGGGTCTTTATCTTATATAGACTCCTATTACCCCCCGCTCCTATCCCGTTTTTCCACTTTTGCTGTCTGGTCACCCTACTATAGACCTTTTGTCAGCTTGGAATGTTTTCCAAGGGGCAGGACTGACACCATAATAAAGGAGGGACAAACACTCCCAGGCACCCCTCCTCCCTCTCACTCTGTCCATCGAATCACTGCACTAGAAGAGACAAAGGAAGCAGCCACTAAGCTGAAGAAGGGGTCCTCAACTAAGAAGTTTGGTCAGTAAGACTGCTGGGAGCATGTGGTAAGAAAACCTTTATTTTGAGTTTAACATAGTTCGTTAACTTGGGCACCAGTTGTGTTTTATCTTGACTTCTCTTGTAACCATTTCGGACTTATGCCTCATTACTTGCCTTCACTTAAAACCTCTTTGTAGTTAATAAACTTGTTTGATCTAATCCAATGTGTTTAAACTGCAGTGTTTGTGAAACTCTATTTGGGTAACAAGGTGTTAACATATTTCTATTGAAGAAATACAGACTTGATATGAATTTGTATTGTCCAGGAAAGGGCTGGGCAATACAAGACCTACTTCTCTGGAGGGAAAAAAGACAAAATGAATACTAGGAGTTTGTTGGGGTCACCCTGCAGTATAACCAAGGCTGGTGAGAGCCAAGGTATGACTGGCTGAGACACAGCCTCCAATGTACAAGTAACTCCCAGCTGTTTGTGAGCAGTCCAGACTGGAGCTACAGCAGCAAAGCATTGTAAAGGGCACCCAGGTTAGAGGGCAGAGGTGACATTCTCATTCGTCTGGATGATACATTGAGTATACCACGCCTAGTTACTAAATGGAGATGGTAAAACAATTATGATGCAGGAAAGGCAGGAGTGTTCAGTAATTATTTCCCTTTTGTATTTGGAAAGAAGCATGACAACATAGTCTCATCACTAGAGTATGATGAAGTACTTTCATGTCTATTAGTAATTAAGGAGGAAGTTAAACTACATCTACTAGGGATAAACATTGTTAAATCAAAATCTTGGGATAACTTGCACCCGATCATTCTAAAAAGTTGGCCAAGGAGATCTCTAGTCCACTGATTAACTTCTAATAAATCTTGGAGTACCAGGAAATTGAAGAAGAATGGAAGAGCGCTGACCTTGTGCCAGTATTCAAAAAGGACAAGCAGAATGACCTAGGTAACTATGTACTAGTCAACATGATCTCACTCACAGGCATAATAATGTAAAGGTATTGTGGGATTCATCAATTCTAAGGGCAAATGTATTCTGACCTCTTGAGCAGTGTAGGCAGGGCCAGCTCCAGGCACCAGCGTAGCAAGCAGGTGCCTGGGGCGGCCAATGAAGAGGGGGGGTGGCACGTCCGGCCACGGGGCCGTCACTCCCTCTCAGAGCGAAGGACCTGCTGCTGAATTGCCGCTGTAGAATGAAGTGGCGGTAGAGCTGCTGCCGAGCACGGCGTTTTTTTTTTGGGGGGGGGGGGGGGGTTGCAAAAACGCTAGAGCCGGCTCTGAGTGTAGGGCCAAATTTTCCCAATTCATAAGGAATTAAGAACAGAAATATAATTAATACCAATCAATATGGTTTTATGGAAAATCAGGTTTGTTTGATAAACCTGACCTAGTTCTTTGTAGTTACAAATTTGTTCGATAAATGTAACTGATGTAATATACCTAGACTTTTGTAATCTGTTTGACTTAGTACCACACAACATTCTAATTAAAAATTAACACTTCAGTATCAATAGAGCACAAGTTAAGTGGAATAAAAGTTGGCTAAGAGGGTGAGGTAATATCTTTTATTGAACCAACTTCTGTTGGTGAGAAACTTTCAACTTTTCACAGAGCTCTTCTTCAGATTTGGAATACATTTCCAGATGAAGAATTGTGGCGTGTAAGCTCGAAAGCTCGTCTCTCTCACCAACAGAAGTTGGTCCAATAAATGATATTATCTCACTCACTTTATCTCTCTAATATCCTGGGACTGACATGGCTACACCACCACTGCATACAGAATTGGCTAAGTGACACCTCAAGGAGCAGTCATCAGTACTAGACCTGATGCTATTCAACATTTTAATCAGTTGTCTGGAAGTACACAAAAATCACTTCTGATAAAATTCA